AAACTCGTTGTGGAGAAAATAATACAAAATGAGAATAATCTCAAGAATGACGAGGAATTCTGATTGGACTCGGAAAACCACAGTGCTACAAATATCTCAAAACTCGTTTCGATAATGGGTCTTCAAATCTGCGGCTTCTAAAGATTGAGATGTCAATTTTTAGTTTTGAGGAACATTAAAATTAAAATGGATAAATCTCTCATTAGTATCGAGTCGATGAACGCGAAATTTCAACACCCCCCTCCGAAATCTCATGGAAGCAAAATATTTTTTGCAAACGCAAAATGACTTCTTTTGCTGAACAGTAAAAACACAGCGAAAATTTTTGGCTTGATTAAAGAACATCGTAAAATAAGCCGAAACAAATTCGGACAATAAAATGCACATTAAAAATCGGTGTCTCATCAAACGGGAGAAATTCACTGAATCAAAAACGACTCTTCTCGCATTTCTAAAATTCCTTTTTTTTTTTTTTACAAAATAATTTCGCTCACCCCAAGTTTGCGGCTCTTGATTTTCACGTGGCCAGACTTGATGACGTCGCAGAAAGTGTCGTCAGCCGGATAGCGCGAAGTTGCTCCCATTTTGCCTTTGGCGATTTGATTGAAAACCTTTCGTATGTGCGCAGTCTTCGATTTATCTATAAAAAAAACACATGAAAACACGCGTATATTATTACCTCCATCAAAACCACCACATATCAAACGCAATCTAAACAAATTGCGTCCATGCACTCAAACGAAACAAAAGACAAGTTTTGTCAAGTCTTCGGGTTTTCCACGCTATACATAATTTCACACGATGAAGTTATCAATTGCGTGTTGATGGGGAATTAATTGTAACTTTTGAAACGTGGAAATTTATTTTCAAACAATTATTTTTTTTACTTCGTAAGTGAAATTTGTAAACTTTTTCCGAGGTGCCAAGAGGAAATCGAAGAAATGATCCGAGAAGCGAAAGGATTGGATGGGAGAATCGAACTGGTTTCGCGACTGTCGTTCATCCGACCTTTAAGACAACACCACATCCACGACAGAGAACTCAAATCTGCATTTTCTCGAATCAAAAATGGAGAAGTTTTTCGACCAGCCTTTTTTTCCCTTCTGTCTCTCTCTCTTCCTCACATAGAAGGTGTGGAATTATCATACCATCTATGAATTCATCTATATATATGCAGCAAATCAAATGCCAAAACGGGGAATAACACCCTCAACAGGGTCCGCTATCTTTGGATCAACGTGAAATCTTCGTTGAAGACTTGAAACTTTCAATGAA